GAAAGTTATTAAATATTACTCTATATACGGAAACCATTTACAGCGACAGTAAAAGTTAGTCCCTGCTACTTTCAAATACTAAAACATTCACCACAATCTCTCTCTCTTTTACATTCCCATATATGACGTGAATTAACATGTGTGCGCTATGTAATCCTATATCGCTGTCAGGGACAATAATTTAAGTTGGCCACGATCGATTTCTCCCATACTTATCATCTCATCCAATTCCAAGCTGCAATTTACAAACTTTCGCTGAATAACCTGCCCATCTACGACGTCTCTCCCACCACACGTGATTTACCAGCAAAATATTTTATGCATTTCATGTCAGATTTATAAATTAATTTCGAAAACTGGTCAAAATAGTTCAAAATGAAGAACTTAAAACTTGTACTCGTTAGTTGATATTGTCAAGACGATTGAATGCAAAATTCGGGAAGATCGTACACATAAGAGAAAGAACAAATGCATAAGAAGTTTTATTAGGATGCCACTAAGAAGGGACCGCTTGTTAACAGTATGAACGTTCTGGTGATGGTATTAAACGTGAAGTCGTAAGGACCCCTCAAGAACACAAACCGGGTGCTTTTAGTGGGATTCTAAACACTCATCGTAACTGGCAACGGAATTGATTTATGAATTTCGAATAGAGCGAAGAACTCTGCCTCTTATTATGATTTACAGACTAAAACTAAGTCAGTTGCATTTCTACAAATTAAATAAATGTAGATCTTCTTCTTGTGGAATGAGAAGCTGTGTCAATGGCTTGGAATTTCTTAAAAGAAAAAAAGTACCAAGGTCAACAGATCACGTAGTTTTATAACAGAAATAAATTTTGGAAGTCGGCAAGTTGCAATTTTATCCAAGAAACCGAGTACGGATCTAACTTATTACGGTAGAAACGAGGTTGGCGGGTGAGAGACATGAAATAAAATATGAATTACGAAAACTTTCCAACATTTATTTTTTCTTCCAGCAAAAATTTATAAGACGAAGAGAGCTTACTTATAATTCCTGTCTGAGTCATGCTGTTTGTAGTGTTACAATATCGCTCTTTAAACTGGCAAAACTGTACATATACCGTGTGTTGCAAAGCTTTTATAAGAAAACAGGTCTACAAAATGCATTTGAAAGTTGAAATTCTACCAGATATTTATGCTCTCTCCTATCAAAATACTTCGCGTTACTCAAGAATGGATATGAGAACCGTGTGATTGTGAATCTATGGGAGGGTAACAGATTAATGCGTCAGGAAAGCATCGAATTTACGGCCTACCGGCCCGAATATAAAGTGTAATATTTATCCAAAAATTTCAGGAAGAAATGTCCGCGCTTCGCAGTTGTACACGTTCAGTTGTGTTGGGTAAGACACTTTACTACAAGCTACCAGTGAAAATGTTGTTATATGTTGAAATCATGTTATTTAAGTCTACCTGATATAAATTACAAAACTGTAAAAGAAAAGTTATAGAAGTTTACTAAATTTATAAAATATTCAGTTAGTTTTGTTAGAAATGAAACATATATTTTTAATTATTGGAATACGAATTATAATTAGGAGCGCAAAACGTTTAACAAATATGAAATTGGAATTCTCTTCAAAGTGTTCTAAATTTAGGAAACAAAATTATTTTATTTTATTTTATTTTATTAATGCAATCATTTAATGATAAACATTTCATTCGAACGACGGAAAATATCTACATTTATTTATTACTTTCAAATATATAGGCCGGAACAGGCACCATAAACATTCAGATGTGACGGGAGTAATTACAGAAAGACTGAGGAAAATAATGCAAAATTGCGGTAACAACCAGAAGAGACTAGGGACATGTGTACCTGCGGAATGCAGAAGAGGAATGCGGGCCCGCTGTTTGGATGTCTTGGAAGTGACGTTGGAGCGGAGAGCAAGAGTGGCATTAGATTCAGTACCATATTTAGAATTAGATAGGAATGCTAAATATACCACACACGTTTTAGAAATATTATCCTTCGCCCACAGGCACTGTTAAAGAAATTAGGCTGGTCTAGAGGTCCTGACCCTTGTTAGGCCTCACACAGGACACGGCTATTCTGACTGAGAATTTTATAGGTTTCTCCATATCAGGATCTTTAAAATTCACGTCACACAAGACTCACGTGTTTACTAAACAAGTGCTCGTTACACTTTGATAGGACATTACACAACTTGTCGCATGTACCTGAGACACGGAAACGTTTCGATCTGAGTAGATCATCTTCAGTGCCCCAGGCTAATTAATGTTCATTCATGTCTGTCCGTAACCCATTTACATTCCCACTGTTCCGCTTATTAAAATTTATATTTCATCAGATTGCTGGATAATAATCTGCATAATTGGACATCAGACCAGTTTTTAACTTTTCATGCTCCTTGCATTTTCAACTCTGAATGCGGAGTCATCCCATATTTCGAAATAACCGTTCCACGTGACATGACAAGACGAAATAGAACATTACTTATAGAAGAAAATTGTGAAATGTGACATGGCACTATATTCAGTATTAATACAGATTAAAAATTTGTATAATTAAGATACACAGGTCTTGAAACCACAAAAATATTTTATTAATTCAAAATTGTAGGAGTTGTATTTGTGACAAACGGATTAACAAACAGACTGATTAAACCAAACTGTTGTGTGACAGATTTGAAAATTAGCATGGGGTAGCGATGAAGACCTGTTAAAGATCGAAACGTGCCTTTCAATTTCACAGGTGCTTAATGTCTTGTCAAAGCGTGATAAAAGCGAGTTGCTGAAATTTGTGACTCTTGGTTATATCCACACGGTACGAAAATACGCAAAATCACCCCACAAGGTCACTGACCTGCTAATTCCGTTTGATGTTACATATAAATAAGTGATATAGCGATAAAGTGTTGTTGAAGGATCGGTGATACATATTTCATCGTTGCTAAGGTTAGGTTAAGAAAAGACGTTTCAGATGGGAAGAATAATTGACACGAATTCTGAAACTGAAAACTTACGTAACATTCTGATTTCAAATTTTATGTTGAAGACAGAAGGGTTGGTCATCATTTTCCGCTGTTAACAGGTCCAGTTTAAGAAGACTGAGAAAGTGAACAGGGCTGATTTGACAGTGGACAGTCCAAAGGGGGGTTTCAACATCTAGCTACTGACTGCTCAGTGCATCCATGTGATTTCTTCACAGTACCCAAACATCCTTCAGATCCCCACAATTTGCTTCATTACTAGTTCTGTAACAGGGAAGATTTCAAGCACGGTAATCTTGATGTAAGATCCTAGAACTGATTCCCACAACCGAGCAAATCTCGAAGTCAGAAAAACGCTCTGGATGGATCTAATTCTTAGTTCGACAACAAGAAATTCAGAGACATACGAAACCGGAGCAAATTGTCTCAGTTCCTTAAAACGTATGAAGAAGAATTGTATCGTGCTGCAGGGTACTTGGTAAGTTGCAGATCGCAGTTGAGAATGGAAGGGTTTTGTGGTCTCTCAACTATCATGCGATCGCCAAATAGCCTGACTGTGGCTCCAAGCCAAGCGTTGAACTATGGCTAATATCAGTTATTGCAAATCCAACCAGGAATTGTCAAGAATAGAACCTTTCTAAATTTCTGTTTCTCAATGGCTCATTCGTGATTTCTCAAAGGCAATGAAACCATTACTATCAGGCTTTATGTAAACATGATATACCACCCGTCTGGAGAGCAGAATTTATCTTCTCTCGTTCTTTAGACAAAGCGTGCATACATAACGGATAGTGTGAAAGATTTTAGTTACTTTGGCCATCGGAACATTTCAATTCCGGTAATATTTTATGAAACAAAGATGCACTCAAAGTTGTCTCAAGAACTTAATTTCCATCTGGTCGGGTTTTCTCAGCGTAGGGTCACAGGTTCTCGCCTAAGGCAATCAACGTGGGATTAGTGGTGGAACAAACTGCGGGCGAGACATGGTTTTCTCCGAGTATATAACTCATTCTCACTTCATATCCTGACCTGATCAACATAGCAGCAATCTGTGACGAGAACAAACATCAAAGCTTCTATTACGCAATGTTATTTCTTGTTTCTTTGGTCCGAACCCTTTCCTCATGTGCCTGTTCTCAAGCTTTATAAAATTCAGGGTTAGGAATTTTACATTAAACCATTAGATACAACATACATTCATTGTATCTTCCTGTGTTATGCCCAACACGTCTCGGGGCACATTAGTAATCATTAAGGGGTTCTTGTATGTCCTCACGAAGCAACTGAGTTTATAGACTAATTTAAATAACAGTAACTTTTAAAAATAGTATTAAAATATATTAAAATTGTCCGTCAATCACAATAAAGTAATATAAGATAATTAAGGATAATATTTTAACCATTTAATTATCTTATATTACTTTATTGTGATTGACGGACAATTTTAATATATTTTAATACTATTTTTAAATAAAATCACAATATGACGCACCTACAATATCTTACTAGCTTTTAAGTTATAATAACAAAATATTAAGAATTATATTTATATTAAAATTCTATACGCGTCTCAGTGACTGTATTTTTGCAGAAATGTTTGGGTCTCGAATTCGCTTTCCTCAAAAACGTGCAACACATCTGGCGTCTCTGTGACGACAGTCGATACTATCGATTATCTTACTGCGAATTTAGCTATCCCCCCCCCCAAAAAAAAATTTTGTTCATCCACAAACATCTGGCGTAGATCTGCAGTAACTCACGCGGTTTTTCATCACTAATTTTTGGCAAATTCTTATTAACTTTTAACGTCACCATTTTCTCCTTTCTCATCTTACATAATAATGATTCATAACGACGATCACATCGAAGACCACGTTACATAAACCTGCCGTAAGAAGCCAAAATATTGTCGTTAAGTAATTCGGCGATCAGCTCCAACACTCAGAACACGTCTCACCTATAATTTTCGCCCCGAAGTCGGCGCCCAGTAAACAAAGAGAGTACTTCGAAATATACTTACGTTTCTTCTTGGGTTCCTCCCCCGCCATGGCGTGGTGCATCATGGCGTTGTTCTGTTGTTGTTGTTGTTGTTGTTGTTGTTGTTGCTGCTGCTGTTGCTGGTGCAGAGGGTCGACATGGTGCCCCATGGACACTGTCGTATGGATGTGCTGCTGGTGGACAGATGGCAGCTCCATACTAATCATAGCCCTTAGCACTCGCGTGCCACAGCCTGCAACACACAGTTCGGAGTGTCTTTTTTACTGAAATGCTCAGCTCTCGAAGAAAATACTGATTTTACATTTAGGAGAAGGTTATACTTACCGACACCTCGAAGTATAATATAATTAAAGACAATTTCGCGTCAGATATTTCTTCTGGGTACCGGAAACGTCTTTGCAGTTTGTTACATTTCATTAAATTAAATTTTATTGTACAAACCCCAAAACCGTAAACTTTTCAATTAATTCATCCCCTCCCAAAAAATGAGCTATACTTCAAAGACGAAAGTTTAACCTCATCAGTAAAAAAAAAAAAAATATTATTCACTATTTTACAGAAACCGTATAAAATTACTTAAGATTACAATTTATTCGGCAGGGCTCGATTGGGTAAGTTATGCCCACATTAAGATTACAAGTTTCCGTCAGAATATAATTTTAATCCGTAATATCTTGAAGTTGCTTAAAATTTAATGACACTTCAAAACGGAACGCCTTGTACCAATCTGGTCTATCGATAGTGTACAGACATCTCTTTCAATGTAGTGAATACTAATTGAAAAAGCCTGCTTGCTGAATACAGTTGTCTTCTGCATTGTTGCACCGTGTAGTAAGGGCTCATCGTCCTGATAATGGAGGCACAGAGTACCTTTGAAACGACAGAAAGTTTCTACCAGACTACTAAACGCAAAAAACCATCAAGACAGTCGCCTACATATTCGTCGCTCTGAGAACCTGAAATATCACTATTTGTTTAAGTATGGTGTCTGCCGGACAAGAATCTAATTACAAGTTACCTGTTTTTTGTTCGTTCGTTTGTTTGTTTGTTTCTGCTAGTATTTTCTGCAAACTATTTTCAAACACGCTCTTATTGTGTGTCATGTGAACGGATAAACGTTATTTTCGTATTGAAATAACATAATTCGAAAAAAAAAAAGCTTCATATAACTCGGAAACAACTTTCAAAAGTCGTAAATCTCAAAAATCGCCAGTT